GTATACAGTACTGTTTGGATTTCCCTGATGCGATGAATAATAACATAATAATAGTAATTGACACTTTATTGATCCCTGTGGGGAAATTCTCTTTATGTCTCCCCCCAAGTTGCTCTCTGTAGGTGAGCGCAAGCTGGCTGTGAAAGGCAGCCACGTATGGTGTCACCCAGGGAGCGGGGGGGGGGGCGGTGGTAGGAGCCCTGCTCAAGGATCCACAGATGTGCCAAGGCCAGGCTTGAGCTGGTGACCTTCCAGTCACAGACACAGAGGCTTAGCTCACGGTGCCACACGCTGCCCCCCCCCCCAATAACTGCAAGGTGTATGAAACTAACAAATGGCCAACGACAACACATGACCATATGAAGCCTGCCCTCTGAGCTCATTACTGCTGATCTATCTTTGCTCCCTGTCAGTGTGTAACATTAGGGACAGAGGTCATGTTAAATGGCACGGATGGACACAATGAGCACAGAAATGAGTAGCATTTCAGCTTGACAATACTGATAGCATCCACTGTGCTTTAGCATTAGCATTCTATACATGTACATTTAGTGTCTTCAGAACATCTAACGTATCACCACATAAAAGCAAATGTGAACAAAATGTCACCCTGGCTGATGATTCACCATTTGTATTGAGCTTCTCTTTTCAATTGTACAAGTTAAACGCTCTGAGCACAAACGAGCTCTGGATCAAATAATGAGATTAATAACCGTACATCTTACCTCTCTATAGAAGATAGCTTTCAAATACCCCATCTATTTCCCAAAATCTCATTAGAATGTATGGCATATATCAGTAGGACCGAGTTTTTTTTGGACAGATTGGTCATAGGTATCGGATGATACCAAGTGGTGTAATAACGTGGGGGTGGATGGACACACACTGCGGTTTCACACCGTTTTTAAAACCTTCGGTTTGTTGAGAATCATAACTGATTCTTCTTTTTGTTACCTTTTGCGTGTGCTTATATTCAAAGTGACTTACAGTTCAAGCGGTTAATGCGATTTGTTATTCTAGCAAAGTAATTCAGGTTAGGCACCTCGCTGGTTCGTACGAGAGCGGCACCCCCTCTCCGGAGAGAAGCAATCTTCCGAGGGCAAGACCACATATTTAATAACTGTGTCACAAGACTTGACTTAATGACACCTCAAGTTAAGTCAGCGGCGGGGAAACCGTGACATTCTATCTCCCCCACCTTTCTGCCCCCTGCTGGCCTTACTGTGACACTTCATTTAATTGCTGTAAAAGGAATCATGTTTTGTGTTTTTAATGTGCTGGCAAGGAATCAATGCATTATTCATACCTAATATTTATGTATTTATGAACCTGTGAATCAGCCTTTAAAAATAAGCCTTTGTCTAGGTTACACTCTCTACCAGCGTCTGCTTGCTCATTAATGGGGCTTTATCTGTAAAAAAATATATATTTTTAAATGACGTTAAAGAAAGAGAAATGCCCCCCTGCTGTAGCTGCAGATGGACCTGTCCTTAATGCACATTTATACAGTTTCATGATGGAGTCACAAATCATTTTTGATTTTGTATTTTGGCAGAAGTGAGTAGTACTTCAAACCTCCAGTGTCGATGGTTTGAGTTTGCCAATACTGTAATTATTTTGACCTTGTGAGAACATTTTTTTGGTTGTCACAAGGGGAAACTCAGTTTCATAAAAAAGAGAATCCGTGAATACAATCAAAAAACAAAAAATATCCAAACTATTTTTATTTTATTGGTTTCTTATGGTTAATGGGATGAGGGTTTTGCCATTGTCATGGAAATGAATGAGTCGCCACAAAGATATAAATAACTAATCTGTGTGTCTGTGTGTGTACGCCCTGCAGTGGACTGACATGCTGTACAGTGTGTGTGTGTGTGTTTGTGTGTGTGTGTGTGTGTGCGCCCTGCAGTGGACTGACATGCTGTACAGTGTGTGTGTGTGTGTGTGCACCCTGCCGTGGACTGACATGCTGTACAGTGTGTGTGTGTGTGTGTGCACCCTGCCGTGGACTGACATGCTGTACAGTGTGTGTGTGTGTGTGTGTGCGCCCTGCAGTTCACTGACATGCTGTACAGTGTGTGTGTGTGTGTGTGTGTGTGTGTGCGCCCTACAGTGGACTGACATGCTGTACAGTGTGTGTGTGTGTGCGCCCTGCAGTGCACTGACATGCTGTACAGTGTGTGTGTGTGTGTGTGTGTGTGTGTGTGTGTGTGTGTGCGCCCTGCAGTGGACTGTCATGCTGTACAGTGTGTACCCCCACCTCAGGCTGTCTGGCATAGACTTCAGACGTCCCTTTACTGGACTTGGAGACAGAAGGTGGATGGATAGACATGATGATGCCGGTTCTTTTTTGATGCTGAGAGGTTTTAAGCAGATCAGCAGGTGACTGCCATAGAGTGCTTCTGCTGGAGTGATTCTTAGAGAAGAGGCCGGATGCCTTGAAATCCTCTGAAAACTCAGGAAGAGACACAAAGGATGTTTACATGTTGTAGCACTCAAGTCGAACCGCTCGACACCAATGTGGATGCTGAAGATACCAGACAAGAGCACATGAGCTAATTAAATTTTCACAGGGCGCTTTCATCTCCGGACCTCTAAGCAATTGAGCCAGCCGTCCAGTCATCTGCCGGCCTGGTCCTCGGAATCGATTTGTGCACTGGGGAAGAATGTCCTCAGCTAAGTTTTCTCGGGGCTGTGTATTCTGAGAATCGGGCAGCGCATTAAAAAATCCCAAAACAGCCATAAAACCAAAGCCATCTTTTAGGTAACCTAATGGGGCCTCACAAATAACAGGGCAGGGAAACGGGCCGTGCAGGACCTGCCAAAGGAGGGCGGCCTCATGCCCTTCGCACTCTTATGACGCCCAGAGCAGTGAGGCCGTCTTATGTGATTTCCCTTCCTCAGACAGATACTCCTCAATCCTTAAAGTATGCCTGCTCTCTCATGATGGACCTTGAATATGTAAGTACATTCAGGGCATCAGCATGGAAATGGCCACTTTATTTAACATTTTGAATAAAAGCCCACAACCCGAACAATGGAAGGAAGTCGACAGAGACATGTGACCTGTGTCAGGGGTGAGATTTGTTTGACCCTTAACCCGCCTTTGATGGTTCTCAGTATCAACATGTCGTCAGAATCTGACACCACGATAACGCTCTGTGTGTAAGACATGGACTCTGGTCTCAAACAGCTCCCAGAGTGTAACTGACACTCTTCAGGCTCTCTTCGATTCACAGAATAGGCCATTGGGGTTAAACTGGAGAAGGTAAGGTAATGATCTGCATGGTGGAGCTTGCATATTGCATCGGTTCCCTCTTGGTTGTAAACTAAACGCCAGGCTAATGTTTCCCCTACAAGCAAGGAACGTACCTCTGGACAATAGCTGCTGCCTTCTGATTGGCATAGAGAGCAGCTGTCAATGCATTTTTGAAGTAGATATGAGGCTGTTCCTCATAGTCGCAAAGAGGACGTGACTCCCATCTGCAGCTGTGACGTGGACGCTGAGCTCTACACCCCCTGTGTAGGGCTCAGCATCGGCTGGGAAATTCACCTGTCAGCCCACGGTCTGAGAAATGACGACAGCAAGGATAAGTGGAGCCTGTCTACCGGGCTTAAGTGTCAACAGCCCATCTACGAGTAGAGAGGGAACAACGAGAACCGGCAGCTGGTCGACCGACCAGCATGGAGATTTGATGCACCTGGTGCTTGTCCCTGGACGAGCATCACTTTAAGACTCACACATGTATGAATAGGTCAGCTAAGCGGCTACTGGGAATGCAGAGAAGCTAATCAACCAGGATATTTCAGGATCCTTCTGGAGCATTCCGATCCATCCAAAAAAAATGCACAAACTCGGCTTTATAGACTCTTTAAAGACAGAGGAACCTTCAAACCCCCTTGGGCACCTGTATTCAGGGGTACCATAAACAGGACGAGACCCACGATGATTCTGTGCTGGAGGGGGGACTGCATGTCGTTTGCCATACCATCGTCTGCTAAATACATAAATGTAAATAAGAGAATGAGAGCCAGACGTGGAAAGCTGCCCTGAGACATGCCAGTAGTCTAGGCTTGAGCCTGTATTAGGCAGCTCATGACTGTGAGCCTCAGCCCAGCCTGTGTCCAGTTAATGACTCTCTAATGGCAGGACTAACATAGTCCTTCAGGACAGGTTACCCCCTGCAGCCAAAGTCTAGTTTGTCCTTAGCTATTCCTTCCATGTCTCTGAGTGCCCTTCCTTCCATGTAAAGACGGTCTCTGAGTGTAAAGACAGTCTCTGAGTGCACTTCATTCTATATAAAGACAGTCAGTGCCCTTAGTGCCCTTCCTTCCATGTAAAGACAGTCTCTGAGTGCACTTCATTCTATATAAAGACAGTCTCTGAGTGCCCTTCCTTCCGTTTAAAGACGGTCTCTGAGGCTTAAAAACGTAAAAGAAATAAAACTTACTGTCCACTTATGCTCAAAATCCAACTTAAAGTTCAAGAATGAATTAAAGTTGCATTGTGATAATGGATTGAGAGACTCATTAATTGTCCCATGTGATATTTTTCATACCCTGGTAGAATATTCCTGAAATTGCATTGTATTCATGCATAATGGATTCCATGGAGACATCCCACATTATGATGAGGGTCAACCATATGAAAGGCTCATATTGTTTGATCAGCAAATTTCAAAGCATTTCAAGTGCATTAAAGAAGTAATTTAAGGGATAGGTTACTGAAACCAAACTGTGCCATTTAAGATTCATAAAGTACTTTTTATATCCATTCATCCATCCACTCATCTTGCTTAACTGCTTATCCAGGAGAAGGTTAATAGTGATGCTTTTTGTTGCTTAAAAGAATTCCCAGTGTTTCTCAGATGATTGTGTTATCTCTGTTTCCCTGCGTTTTGTGTTCACAGCAGTGGCCATGAAGATGTACCCGTAAGCGTACTCACACATGTTGCCCATTTGTCAACCACTAACATGTATGGGTCTGTGTCTGTGTCCAGAGGGTGGGACGTGCGAGGTCATCGCCGCACACCGGTGCTGCAACAAGAACCGCATTGAGGAACGATCCCAGACGGTGAAATGCTCCTGTCTGCCTGGGAAGGTGGCCGGCACGACGAGGAACAAGCCGTCATGCGTCGATGGTGAGTATCTCTGCTGGCCATCTGCCTTCCTGCCTTGTGGATCAACAGCCATGACCTGGTCTATTCTCTTAAAAAAATCATCCAAAGATATTTCTCGCATCCACTTTCCATTTGTTGTGACAGGCTTTGGTAGGTAAAAACTCCTCGTTGACTCATTTCGCTATTAAAAGTTTTTCTCCAACTGTATTATTTTCAAGCAGACCTTTGCTGTCATTGTTTTCAGGACAATTAATCTAACAAACCGGCAAGAATTGGGCTAAGGAATGTCCCCGTGGAAATGATTAGCCACCATAAATCGCAGATCAATACAGGCAAATGCAAAAATTTGTCACAATACCTTCTGGGTTGACTGACAAGGTAATAGGTCACGTTTTAAAAGCTTGCATGAGCTCGCACTAAGGAGCTTGTGTGATTTCTCGGGACAGCCGAGAGAGAAAGTGTTTGGTCACATAGCGAGACGTATGCGAGCGACTCTGTGAGTCAAGTGTAAGAAAAGTCCCCAAGGACAGTGACCCTAACGGAGCAGTCAGTCACCACGTAATCCTTAAGCCGCCACCATCACCTTCTGCTCTACAAATTTATTTCCAATCCCCACCTGATAGTTTCTCACTTATGTTACAAAAAATTACATATAATTGCAAATAAGTACTGATTGCCTGTGATGGCAGTACACAATGTTTCATGAATTAATGCAATTACAGAGTGTTACACTGTCTGGAGCATGGAGTCATTTTCACGGCTGGGTGAACCAGAACTAGCAGGTGAACCATCAGGCAGGCACTGATGCTGGGAATTGTGGGAAACAGCAAGTCACTAATGCCCTGGGAGTGCAGAAATCCAGTCTGCTTGCAGGGGACACCCACACCTTCGCCACAAATATCCCCAGACCTGCAGTGTAGATATATATGTGGAATGCTGGGTCGGGCAGAGCCGAATTGACGGCGGATGCTGACTTTGGTGTTATATGAAAAGGGCACCCTATTCACAACAGCCTCAGAGTGACGCTTCTACAACCTGTTCAGCCTCTGAGGACACTGCATAGTCTGTCACGTTAATTGTAGGAAGGTCGTGGTCTGTAATGTTGTTACGGCAGGGTGGTCTATGCCATGCCCAATTTCTCTTTGGCCGTCCCTGCATTACCACAATCCTTCACTGGATAACCAGTGGATACTTAGCTGATACACGTCGCTGCAGCAGCTCAAAACGTCGATAAGTAAAATTGTCAGCTAGACCAACCACCTTGGGGATTGAATGGAAGTAGTCTTTAGAAACATCCAGTAATATAGTGGTGAGCTGGGGTAGAGTCTTCAGAGACGCAGAGCTGTCAATTTCCGTCCAGCTCAGGCGTTTCCTGGCTGGATGCTTTCTGACTGACACTTTGGGAAGTATGTCAGAGGACAGGGAAAGCTTTCGGAGGCCAGATAACTATCACCAACATCACCTTCATACGACCGCTTTTACCAAATGCGAATATCACATTCAATTAGTATCTGATTGACTGATGAAACACTAGGACTATGCAGAGAGCTGAGAATGTAGAATGAAGTTCAGAGTGAAAACTAGCCCATAAAATTAGAGCAGGCCACCACTGGCTTACGGAAGCAAAGGGCTTTAAGCAGCACTTTTTAAATTATGTAAATGGTGCATCTTATTATAAACAAGACATGACACTGTAATAGTGAGCTTCTGCTGCTATGGCGTCAGCAGGCTACAAAATAAGTCTTTTGCTAGATCAGAGGTGTCAGACTCAATACTCAGTGTCTCTGGTTTTTATTCTAACCCAAACCCTGCCATAGTTGATCCTTTAATCTGTGTACCAGTGGGGTCTTGATAAACACAGTATGTTTCCTTAAAACAAGGGATTATTTAAGACAAACGTTAGGAGTATTAAAATGACAGAGCTAATTCATTAATCCAGACTAGGGGATGAAGTTAAATCTGTGTGTTGACCTTGGGAGTGGACTGTGCTAGTTAAGAAATGTGTCTCTCTCTTAAATATATTTGTGATAATGCAGAACAGGTCTTGATGTCACTAATTCAGCTTGTTCCAGTTCAAACTCTGCCCCTGTCTTGTTTGTGCATAATGTGCTCTCACGTCTCTGAGCAAAACAACGTGGAGGAGCAAAGACCCTTCAGACAAGGTCACTCCAGAGGTCAAGAATCAACCGCCCTTGACCTTCCTTGCACAAAAACAATTTGACCTCCTGTCCAGGTGGGGGCAGAGATGGGGTTCCATGTTACTCATGTCTAACTTGGCATGAATAGCATTCAGGAGAATGTGCAGGTGAGCTAGGTGGCTCTCCCTTTTACTAGCAGCCTGTCATGGGCATCAAATGTTGAGTAAGGTCCGAGTAAAAATGTAACCTTTAAGTACAGTACACATTGTGCTTGGGGTCACTAAATTAGCCAGCGTGAGCCAAACACCCGCCCACTATGTGTCTGTGAAGTCAGACATACACAGTGCTGTAGGAAGTCTGCGGGTTTCTCTGCTCCACTCGGGTTAATGAGGTGAAGAGTCTTGTCCATGAGCCGTTACCAAGATGCCGTGTTATAGATGGCGATTCTGTGCCCAGTGTCACGGATCTGCATTGGCTGCCACCACCGGTCGCTCTTGGCCTTAGTCTGTCCTCTTACATGTCCTAATAAGCTGGATGAAAAGAAGCCTTATTTGCACAAGAATGGGCACATCGGAATTCTTTAGTTTTCATATATCCCATCTTGCTTTCCTCTGAGGCACAGACACATACATACAGGGGAGAGTGAAGCGTGGGGTCCGAGCACAGGGTCAGCCGTTTATCTGCCGGCCCATGGAGTTTTTTTCAGGGCAGTTAAGGGCCTCGCTCACAGGACTCGAACTAATGACCTACCTGATCACAGGCGCAGAGGCCTAACCTGTGCTCCTGTCCAGTGAGGTTCTCATACCAGGAAAGTGGCATGACAAATGGTGGTAAGCGAGCCTAACCCTAACTGTACCGCTGAACCGCCGCAGGGCCTAGCTAACGAATTAGATTACCGTATTAACATCAGCAGGGCACCACGTGATGTCGCCTCTGCAATCACCATAGCGACATTCCAACATCCCAAAAGTGGACGGGGTCTAGGTGAGAGTGTAGCTGCTTTATGCAATTAGCAGGGCTGCACGAGTCCAATTCATCTGCTCGTCATGCCCTCACTCAGGTTAAAAAATGTACTTTTAAACACATGGAGTCAGCGCGGTGCCCCCCCCCCCCCCCCCCCAGCACTGCCACGGCCCAGATAAACGTGCGCCCGGGTCCACGTGATTAATGCTCTGTCTTCATGAGTAACGAGGCCGCTTCCGACGATTGCTTCACACCCCTGGGGGCCCCTATAGGTCTGGGCAGCCTGAGAATAGGAGCCATCTCTGCATTTCTCACGCAGCAAGAGCGGCCGTCTAAATTTGGAGGTTCGTCTTTTCCTATTGGGTGACTTTTTGAAGACTTCTAAATAAAGTTGGCCAGCATTGCTAACATCTTCATCTTTCCCAAGTCCTTTTTTTTAATTCAGAACTTTTTCATATAAACTTTTGTCTTTAATTTGAGGAGTATTCTTTCTTTCACTGGATCATCCATTCAGCCATCCATCTTCCATAACAATCCAGTGCAAGGTCACAGCGATTTCACTGGATTAAAAAAATCATAATTTATCCACTATGCAGTAATGAAATATGTGGTATTTGTGTCTGTAATGCCTCTGCTGGCTCACCTGCCCGATAGCTTTGATAGGACAGTCACCTTTATTCTCTCATGACCCCAAAACACCCTATTTGGAAGACAGAATCTGTTTGGCTCAGCAAGTCATTTTCTCCCTGACAATGCTGGGATGTGTTTAAATATCGTCGTCTGAAGATTTGCCAGTAGATAAATGGTGTGGACACCCATCCATTTCAAACAGAGGGCATTGGTACCCTTAAGGCTGAACTGACTGTAATTGTCTGAAAGGGCAGTCGAGAGGTCGGGTCTCTTCCAAGAGGAAAAGGTTAAGCCAGAGTTCTAACTTCGTAAGCACTTCACAAAACTCCTTCTTCCCACCCAGCATCAGGCTTGGTCAGATACCAAGGCTCTACCAACATGGACAGGACTCCAGAAGAATCAGATACATACATTTGGCGAGATTCATCCAGCAAGCCACTCAAGCAGCGTGTCTATGAGATGTGGGCAAAAAGCAGAATGGCCGTAGGTTGGATCTGCTAACAGTTGGCACAGTTATTATTATTATTATTATTTTCGTCTTCAGTGGGTTTAATCACATGTCAAATGGGGTTAGTTTCTTTCAGATGTAAGGGGAAGGAGATGGCGTGGGTGGCACCCATTTAACTGCAAACTCTGTGAAACATTAAACCCGTTAAGACCTACAATCAGACGCTAGTCCTCATACCATCCATTAAGGCAGAAATGAGACACTATACGGCACCACACGGTTCACTGCGGTCAATTAGTCAAGCCGCCCCTGGGACTTGTTTACACAAAAAGCATTTTGTTAAAAAAGGAAGGCAGTGCTGAAGCCATTCTGTGCAATAACAGTAACTTTAGCTCACACTATGATTGAAAAGCCACACAGCTGCATCTGAATAGCTAATGCAGAATCAGCTTACGCTGTAAAGTGAAATAATTGACAATAGTGTCTTTCAGAACCACACTGCTATTGTGGGTCAGCCTAGCAGAACTCATGTCCGCCTCCTGGTTAATTTCATACTCAGAGTCGTGTTTCCATGGTACTCATAGCTGTTATTAGCATTGTCAGTCACTGGAAGTATATCCATACATTATTATAGTTGCCAGCTTATTAATGAACTGTGTTTCTAATTAGATTAGATAAGGGTTTCCGAATGAGAAATAAGCAGACGACTTAATCTGTGCACTAGCTGGTAGTCACAGAAAATGTTAAGCAAAAACACGTCAACATCGCAGGAATGATAAATAACGTGATTTAAACTGAAAGCCACTGTTGAAAAAGGGAAGGTGACCAAAGCAACAAAACTTTTTGCCTGGTTAGAAGTCGACAGCATCCCACGAGGCCGCTTCCCCTTTAATACTCTCTTAGAAGCTCCCAGCCAAAAGCCTTTGGAAGCTGAGCGCTTTGCCGGTCTCTCGCCATGAGTAGCGTGGAGCTGTGAGCGGCAGTGTGGCGATAATGACGTGCTGGGGGGCAGGCTCTGAGCCCGGGCTGTAATCCGGGACCCTCTCGCGGCACATTAGCTGTCAGACACGGAGCCGGATTTGCACCGCCGTTCACGCCCCTGACCAGCACCTGGTACACAGGCAGGAGGCATGTCTGCCAGAGAGTGATGCCCAGGACAGGGCCAGCAGCCTCTGGCTTCCTGATACCCCAGTAATCCACTCCTCCTCCTTTTGCGGAGAGCAGAGATGAAGTTGCTGAAGCTGCTACGCAGAGAGCCGTATGGGGGGTAATTGCAGCAGTCATTATTGGGAGCTCCTGGAAGGGAGAAGGTCACCTGGAGGGACCTGACACCTGCAGAGACGGCACGGAGCGCCGAGCCGCACGCGGGGACGGTCCGACAGCGGCTGGGAATGCCGGCCCTGGAGCGAGAGGCTGAGAAGCATGCTGAGGCATGCCGCCTCAGATGACATCCTGTGAGGTCATCTGGGATATCAGAAGAAGTCATCTGCAGTAAACCTGGTGAATTTCACTTCACATAAAGGGGAGGCCATTTATCACGTTGGTCCTCATGTTTACTCTGGTATTTTTAATATGTGAGGAGATCATGGGAGAAGTATGGCAGGTTCAAGCTAGGAAGTGTAATGTAGAAGGAGGGCCCTTACCTTGGGCGTGCATTTCAAAGTTGTGATTCTGACACAAAGGCTGGCTGCAGACCGTCAGGGATACAGACAGATGCTGTTCACCTCGCAGTACTCTGACGATTTGCATAGCGTGCACATTTCAGTGAAATCAGGAGATAAATTCCTCTTAATGTCAAGGAGTGCATTCTTTCCAGAGTATTCCAGCTTTGTTTATGTAGAACAATTTTGTACATGTAATCTGGTAAACGTTGAACGATGAATCAGATGTCCCTCAAGGCTATTAACATACAGAAGAGATGTTCTGCAGATTGTAGATTGTTACAAGACCCACGAGGATGTTCCCAGATGGCTTTTTATTACACGAATCGCAGAAAAGAACTAAAGGTGAACAGGGAGTTGGATAAGATTCATCAGGAGCGAGGATGCTCTCTCCGTCTGAAGAGGGGAGTGCTACCACACCAGAGCTCTGCCCCCCCACCCCCCCACACGTTGCTAAGGAGACGTCGAGCAGACAGACAATTGCCCAACAGGACCCAGGTGTGCAAGCATGAGCGCGACCGGCCGCTGTCCAGGGTCCTGTGACCTTGCTCTCGAGCCCCAATAAACCAACAAAACGAAGCCCAGAGGGTGACTGGCTCACATCTCAGGGTCATTTTGCTAGTTTACAAAATTTCATACTGTTGCACTAAATGATTAAATGACATGGCATGAACAATATTAGAATGATGACAATATGGAGATGATACCTGAATAACTCTGTACAGTGTGTACCTGTGATGATGTTAGATTAATTGTTTCACTTAGATTTCAATGCAATTACTTAATATGCATTTCGTATATGATATGATGAAGTATAATGCATTTCACTATTACTGAGGTATCAGTTCTGCTCTCCGCAGTAAATATCATTAATCTTACAGACAAACTCAGCCTCATATTTCAAGCTCCTTCGCCAGGCAGTGTTTTAATCTGAATTCTTACTCCTTTTTATTTTAAAGATTGATTTTTCGTGTGGGTATTGCTTTTCATTTCAGGAGGAGTTCTGCATTCAAAGTGCGGAATAGAAAGTCCTCTATAAAATGGCAATGAAGAACTTTTGGAGCTTTCTATAAAAAATAACACATAAACAAAAAGCTGGCTTGAGACAGAGATTAGCCTCTAATTAGTCTATTGCCCTCGATTTTCACTAAGTTCAGTTCATCACTAAATTCAGTATTATGAGTATTTTCATCTTAATAATCCAAGCCTTATGATTGTTGCTTAAGAAAACCAGATAAAAATTATTATATGTGCCGCCTCATGTGCATGGAAAATTGATGTGCAGGAAAAAAAAAACATTTTGATTTCAACATAACTGCTGACCAGCACTTCCTGATAATTACCGTGACAACAGTACACGGCCTTGAAGCCCCCAGGCTGCACGAAGTCTGACTGTTGGGGTCCTTGAGTACAAGGGCAGACCTCTGCATTGCCTGTCAGAATAACCTTATCAAGCTGTCAAGAACCGCAGGCACTAATCAAGACGGAGAAAACAAGCATGAAGTAATTCTCAAAAATGGTGTCCTCGACAGCTGTTGTGTTTTTTTAAACACAATGCAGAGTATTCACTCTGACCAAGATGAGGAAACCCCTCCACAGAGATCAGCTGCTGATTAATAGCTGCCCTGTAACCTTGGTTACATTGACACAGGGAAAGAGAACATTAAGACAGTGAACATTTCACGTGTCTTTGACATTAACCTTCATTTTCAAGCGGTGATTCTAATCACGCTGGGCACTGAAGGGCTTTGGAAACATTATATCTGCAGCAGAAAAATCTTTTGCTTTGTTTTCATACGCACACCAATTTTATCCATAGGGTTAGCTAGTATTGGAATTCCACTCATAATGGAAGCTCCGTAATGGTTTTGTGTGTTGGTAGTTTTTCACAGTGTATTTTATAATCTGATTCCTATTACCTTTTAGATTAAGTCTTAGAACAGAGGTTTGCCTTTTATTACCTATTACTCTCTAATAACATTTTGCACGCCTTGTGTATTATGTTATATGGCCTTGTTAATGGATTCATATTTTGTATAATGGCTCCTCGTATGAGCATCTGACAGATCCTTGTATTGGAGAGCCCTGCATTGGGACCCTGGGGATGCAGAAAGCCTCGTTAAGGGGACATGGGTGAGGAAGCAGGTCTGGGTAACGGCTGGCCATTATGAATGCCATTGCACTGACAGGAAGTGACATTTTACACCGTCACCGAGTGTGACAGCTGATAAAATGTTTTAACCAGCGGAGTGTCGTGTAATCTAGCAAACACGACAGACACCACGTGCAAATGAAGTCTCAGGAAAATGGCAATAAACTATCAGCTGTGAGGAACGAGCCATGGAACCGGGAAGAATATGTGATTTTCTGGGTTTCTGATGCCTGGAATAATATTATGCCGTTCAGACGGGACTCACAATGTTTAAAAACAGCTTGGAAGGAGATGTGATGCCACGTCGAAGGGGGTGAGCAGGTGGGGGTGTTCTCTGTGTGGCTGTTTACTTTGTGGGGGGTGTAAACTTAGCCGCAGTATGGTGGGAAAGTCAAAGGTGGGCGTTTGCTGTGTAGGAACAACACGATTTATTGCGCTGTAAGGAAACCTCAGAGGACACACTCGGCTGAGTTCGGGAAACGGCGCCATGGCGACTGAGAAGGAGATTGCAAGGCCATTCATATCTGGCCAGTTTCCGGAAGTTTCTGCATTCCTCTCCATTGCCTCTGTGACGGAAAGCCTCAATTAATCACAGACAAGATTAAATAGGGGGGTGATGTTTATGTGTGTGTGTGTGTGTGTGTGTGTTTGGGTTTGTGTAATGAGCCTGTAATGATAGCCCAGTAAAATGAGAGCAGAACTTGCAAAGTGTCCAGGCCAGGCAGAATGGGCCAAGCAGACCAGGTAGGATGGGTCTGACAAGAACTGGATTCTGAAAGTTAATCTGAGCCAGTGGCTCCCCAGTGACTTCAGCATACTCACCCATTGATAGCCTGGTGAGTAAGAGATGCTAATCAGCAGGGGATTATACATTATACTTCAGAATAAGGCATAACTGTTGTGGAGGAGTTTGTGCCAGGATACTCAGCTGGATTTTCTTTTGATTTAGTCAGAGAGAGCAAGCTTCTGACGCGAGGCGATGGTCCAGGGTCACTTTACGGGCCGCAGACTTCTCCAGCCAAGCCGGGGTGCGTTCCCTTGTGAACCTGAGTGCTCCACAGAACTGGTCCCTTTCGAAACAAACTCCAATGTGATGCAGATACCTCATCATCATGATGATAGGGTTGCGTTTCCTGCGAGGGATCTACTGTACCTGAGCTCAATTTATAGCTGTTGATTTTAGTTTTAACAAATTACTTTAATTATGGCTATCGATTTTAGTTGTGGCTATTGACTTTGATTATAGTTAACTTTAGTTGTAGCTATTGACTTTACTTGTAGCTATCGGATTTAGTTGTAGCTATGGACTTTAATTATAGCTATTGACTTTAGTTGTAGCTATTGACTTTATTTATAGCTATCAGCTTTAGATGTAGCTATCAACTTTAATTATAGCTATCAACTTCCGTTATGGCCTTCAACTTCAGTTATAGCTACTGTGAGTGTCGCTGTAACGTGAGCCGTTGAAGACACGGCTGCAATACAGGTCACCTGATGTTCACCTCGACAGAAAATTCAATGTGTTTCATCTTGTTAGTGGTTTTATAATCAGCTCTAAACAGTGTTTATTCAGAACTTCTCCAGGGAAGTTGTGCAGGACACACACCCACATACAGTACTCACTTCTAACCCTATTGTAGAGTTGCTAGCTCCTGTGTGAATCACATGACCTTTGCATGTCCATTTGGTCGACGATTATCAGCATCTAAGAAAGCCATTGTCGAACAAGGGTGGAATCAGCCGCCATTCGTCTGTGGTTGAGACTGCCTGAGCTGAAAATAAGACCAAATGTGTTCCGCTAATGGTTGGCTGGGCTTCCTGTGAGACGGGGTCACTCTCGTGTGTCTTTGAGGCCCTAAAATACGAAAGTAAAGATGAATGCAATCTTGAGCATCTGACCTTTACGTGCTTTGCCCCACTGTTCCGGTGCGTGCGGCCCGAGACTCACCGCCCCCTCCACACCCGCCCCCCGCAGCCTCCATCGTCATTGGGAAGTGGTGGTGCGAGATGGAGCCCTGTCTGGAGGGAGAGGAGTGCAAGACACTGCCAGACAACTCCGGCTGGATGTGCTCCTCCGGGAACAAGATCAAGACGACCAGGGTAAGGGATCCCGACCCTGTGCTCGCTGGCGCGCACTCTGACTCGCTAGCGGGGCCTCGCCCGTGACTCCCACTCATACTGATGGTGAGAATGACAAACCCGGCCGGCCAGCGGGGCCGACGCACACCCAGCGGCTGGTCCACCGGCTCGCTGCCTGTTTCCTGCACCGCGGCGAACGCACCTGTCAGTCACAGCTGCCAGTAACACCGAACTGCCGAAGCTGCATCAAAAGCGTGCGGCAGCAGCCGGCTGGTAAACATGCCGGGCTCATCAGCAACACACCAGCTAATTATTCCGCGCTCACACATCAAAAAGGGCCAGACCGCTGCGTAAACCCTAAACAAACGCGAGTGGATCGATGAGAAGTCCACAGCAAGGCGCATTAGTCACACATCTTGAAGTCCAAGCCATCTGTACGGGCCAGCACCCAAATAAAGCTTTACGTGATCTTCGACATCACGCTCAGAGCTCACCTTAACCATCCTCCGAGTGTGTCGGTGGAAAAAGGGTTTCTCAAAAAGTCATAAACTGGGTGTCAACAAAATGGGGGTAGTGACTCTTTCCAAGAATTTCCATCTAGGTGCAGGGAGTATTACAGTAAGTCAGAGACAGTCCTGCTGGCCATACACTGCCTTACCAAGGAACACGGTCACCCATAAAACTGGAGCATCAGGCATGCCAAACACCGCCTCAGTCTCTGACCCAATTGGACCTTGCACCCTCTTCTTCATTCTGTCATTTGTGACACACGAAACGGTGAAATCAGTCTTGAATCATGACTAGCCAGCAAACGGTTTCTCAAAGCTGTCCCCGAGACCAGATAACGTGAACAGAAGTTGACTGGATACCATTTTTTCGACTTGTCAAGGTAAGAATCGCAATACTAATCTTCAAAGCCTGAATTGTTTGCATAATGTTTTAACGCTTTAACAGATGTGTCTCCTTGTGATATTGTTTGATTGCCTTTGAAGAGAACTGTTTTGTACTCTTTTGTAATGCTGTTCAAGATAACTTTGAAGCACGAAGGGTGGGGACCTCTTGTCCTCACGCTTAAGGTGAGGAAGGCTTAAAGAGCATGAATAATACACACATGTGACCTGTGACCCTCACCCCTGTGGCATTTCCTCTGCAGAACACCCAGCCATACTCATCCTTTTAGTTCTGGAAGCAAAGTTCAAGGAGGGATGAATTGACATGGGGCAGCATCATTGCTTCTAAAAAGGTTGGTCTTCCTCAAACGACTGGACCACTTTTGACTGTGAAATATTTTGCACCGCTTCCTGCAACTGTATCCGGGCAACCGCGGTCGGCCAAACTGTGATCACGCTGCGTGTGTTTTCACGGTCCATATGATTGGATGGCGGACATGAGGACCTTGTGTTTCCTGCTCTGTGCGTCACCGTGTCAGCACCTTGTTCAGAAGCTTTTCTAGGATATTAATATGCACGTGCATGTTGGAAAGTCGGCTGTTAATGGTATAACAATGACATTAATAGATGTAGACATTACCCATTTGTCGTCAGATAGGGATGTCGTGTAGGGAGACCACAAAAAGCCAGTCGAAATGTCTGTTTCTCACAGATACACATGACTTAGGGATCCAAAGCAGGAAACTGAGCCAAAATGCTAACCAAGAGAACTTATAGATGTAAGCATTGCCTCATTTTCTCTGTGAAATTGGCAGGGTTAGTATACGGATTGGGTTTCAACTGGTCCCGGATCGATACCGAGACCGCAATCGAGCCAGATCAAAACACGAAGCCCAGAACGGATACCGCACAAACACATGGAAACATGAAGAACGTTCCAGATCAATGTGCCAGGCCTTTTAACACACATTCAGAGCAGAGGCACTCCGGCAGACACCCCAAGGCTAGCCTGGGGCACTCGATTTTACCTTTGTGTTTTCTAACCTTATAATTATTGCAGTTGTATGTTTTTTTCTTTCCTTTTCAAAAGATGAACATAAAAATATATTGAATGTGGCCTTGTAATTATGGCCATAGTGGTGTAAGTATGTGTGGGTGTGCAATAGAAAACAGGCTACAGAAATTAATACACAGCAAAAGGCTGAGGTTACAACAAGGTTTGCGATAGCTAATTATAAAATAACTCCAAAATGAAAATAAACGGGTACAATCTCACACCGTGGGTGTTAACAGGTCCTCCAATGTCACCTATGGATTTCATTTTTTCTGTTATTTTGGAACATCAACCTGTACATTGTTAAAAAAAAAAGTACAATGGAGCTGACCTCGGTATTTCAGAGAAATGAACACAGTTCCCTATTATAAAATAGCTTTAAACCAAACAAGGGAGTCCAGGAAACCATATTGTAGATAAAGAATACAATATCATTGGATATATGCATGATACCTCATACATCAACACTGAGAAGGACAAAACACTATATACTATCGAGCCAAAAGGTAATGTTCATACACAAGACATCAGGGCAACACTGTGTGTGTACATACTGACTCTGCCACAACACTGCATGTGTAGATACTGACTGCCACAACACTGTGTGTGTACATACTGACTCTGCCACAACACTGTGTGTGTACATACTGACTCTGCCACAACACTGTGTGTGTACATACTGACTCTGCCACAACACTGAATGTGTACATACTGACTCTGCCACAACACTGTGTGTGTACATACTGACTCTGTCACAACACTGCATGTGTACATACTGACTCTGCCACAACACTGTGTGTGTACATACTGGTTCTGCCGCAACACTGTGTGTGTACATACTAACTCTGCCATAACACTACACGTGTGCATACAGTACTTACTCTGCCACAACACTGCATGTGTAGCTACTGACTGCCATAACACTGCATGTGTACATACTGACTCTGCCACAACACTGTGTGTACATACTGGTTCTGCCACTACACTGTGTGTGTAGATACTGACTCTGCCACAACACTCTTTGTGTACATACTAGTTCTGCCACAACACTACACGTGTACAAACTGACTCTAACACTACATCTGTACACGTCGACTCTGCCACAACACTATATCTGTGCATGCTGACTCTGCCACAACACTACGCCTGTACATACTGACTTTGTCACAACAGTACTTCTGTACATCCTGACTGTCACAACAGTATTTCTGTACATACTGACTCAGCCACAACCACACTTAGAGTAGGGATCATATTAACACTGCTGAAATCAGGGGTGTCCCTCGTGTGTCATCCCTGGCCTGGAATCTTTGGGAACAATGACTTTGCCCCCCAGGACAGCACTGGGAGAAGTAATCCGCCGAGATTGGCGACCGTGTAAAACACAGGGAGGCCCCTGAACTTTGGTCTTACTCAGACAGACATGACTCGGGGATCAGATGCTGCACAAGCACTCAAAATGTACCACATGAAGGAGAAAGGTAGATGCTATTTCAGTATAGTCATCATTTCACCTTATTAAAATATCTCTGCTGTCATTATTCTCCCTTTCTGTGCAGTGACACTCTCCTGTGGTATTTTATTCTCTGGTTCCTCCATCTTGAGCATGCTTATATGAAATTACAGCCCAGACATGAAGCAAGCGATCAGCTCCGGCGCAGTCATTTTTAAAGCTGTCTGTTAATCTGCCTTCTCATTCAGCCTGGCATCACATCAGCAGGGTGAAATACCTCTCTCTCTTTCAGGCAACTGGATACCACTTAATTCAATTTATTGTTGCTTCCAGTCTTGCTAGTCTGTTTTATTTATTTCTTTGCTTTGACATAAAAAGAAAAGACTCACAGCCCCAGTGCTCTACAGCACCCCCTTCTCATCACATGCAGTGATATTAGTAGATGTTGGAGTCAAGACCTAGATCCTCCTAATCACATGTAGTGGTGCAAGTGCATGTAGGAATCAGGACCTAGATCCTCCTAATCATACACAGTGGTGGGAGTAGATGTTGGAATCAGGACCTAGATCCTACTAATCATACGTAGTGGTGTGAGTAGATACCAGTCAGAACCTAAATCCTAATCATAAAGTGGTGTGAGTAGATATAGGAGTCAGAACCTAGATCCTCCTAATCATACATAGTGGTGTGAGTAGATGTAGGAATCAGAACNCTAATCATAAAGTGGTGTGAGTAGATATAGGAGTCAGAACCTAGATCCTCCTAATCATACATAGTGGTGTGAGTAGATGTAGGAATCAGAACCTAGATCCTACTAATCATACATAGTGGTGTGAGTAGATATGAGTCAGAACCTAGATCCTAATCATACATAGTGGTGTGAGTAGATATAGGAATCAGAACCTAGATCGTCCTAATCATACATAGTGGTGTGAGTAGATGTAGGAATCAGAACCTAGATCCTACTAATCATACATAGTGGTGTGAGTAGATGTAGGAGTCAGAACCTAGATCTGCCTAATCATACATAGTGGTGTGAGTAGATATAGGAATCAGAACCTAGATCGTCCTAATCATACATAGTGGTGTGAGTAGATATAGGAATCAGAACTTAGATCCTCCTAATCATACACAGTGGTGTGAGTAGATATAGGAATCAGAACCTAGATCCTACTAATCATACGTAGTGGTGNTAGATCCTCCTAATCATACACAGTGGTGTGAGTAGATATAGGAATCAGAACCTAGATCCTACTAATCATACGTAGTGGTGCAAGTAGATGTAGGAATCAGAACCTAGACCTGCTTAATCAAGCATAGTGGTGTGAGTAGCTGTAGGGGTCAGAACCTAGATCCTCCTAATCATGTGTAGTGGTGTGAAAAGACATAGGAGTCAGAACTTAAATCCTCCTAAGGATATGTAGTGATATGGCTAGATATACATCTCAGGACCTAGATCTTCTTAATCATACGTACTGGTATGAGTAGATGTATAAGTCAGAACTGAAATCCTCCTAATCATATATAGTGATGAAAGTAGATGTAGGAGTCAGGACCCAGATCCACTTAACCATATGTAGTTCTTTAAGTAATTACTCATATGAAATGCTTCTCATTACTCAAGTGCTCTGTGTTGAATCAGAACCATAATCATACATCCTGTAGTGGTGTGAGTAGGCATTGGAGTCAGAAGATAGCCAAGGCCATCCCTGACACACCTCTCTTTCTCTGTCTCTCTTTCTGTCTTTCAGAGAGGGGCCTCCCTTACCTGTATCAGCAGACAAGGCAGGCATTTTGTTTGGGGAGTCACGTTGAGGGGAGCTGGAGACGCCCATACTCACGCCCAGCATAGATCCTCATTCTGCTCCACTGGCTAAATACCGTTAACAGACGCTGGCCTAACCTTAATACAAAGGCTGGATATTCGCTGTGCGGTGAAGAATGTTCTACTCAGCAACAGGGTCATGTGCTCTGTGCTCCCAGATTGCGCTCATTAGACGGGTTGGATCGGGCTGTGTGCATTATTTATCGTGTCATTAGGAGATTTAGATGGAAAAGGCACAGAGGGTAACACTGTGGCCAAAAAGAACAGACCTGGTGCCATGAGGTTGCCAGTTCAGAACCCGGGAAGGATGCTGAACTTAACACAGTTACTTCAGCGTTTATGCATCTGCTGATTACTGAGGACCATGCGAGCTGCTTTCTGCAAGCGTGTTTTCCAAATGACTATAACCGAGATGTATTTATAAACCATGTAGACAAAGACCATAATGGGAGAGTTGAAAAAAATGACAGGCTCCTCGTGGGAGATACCGCACAGTAAATACTCGAGCAGACTTCCTTTTTAGACATGTGAATTGCTATTCTTTTATTTAGATGGGCTGTTTTCCAAGAGAGATGAGTAAGGGTCATTTTTTTCACAAAAAGGCTTTCTAAGCAAACACGGCCTTTCAGCGCAGTTCTTTAATGTTTAAACACCACATGTTTCTATATTAGAAAACAGACGGCAAGCAGCAGAGCAGAGGCTCACAGTAACAGACACCCATCTGCTCGTCTTTTTCACAGGGACTCTTATTACGAGCCGATAAATTGACGCCGGCTCAGGCTATCGAATCAGGAGTCAGGCGATCGATTGAACAGTGCAATGAGCATTAAGCGGATCCGGCCCTTTGACCACCACTTCCTGTTTCTGTACGCTCTGCTTGCAACTGTGAATGTCACATTAAATAGATTTTGATGCAATTTGTTGCCTGGAGTTTTCTTTGTTGTTTTTCAGCAGCTGATGCATAAATACCAGTGGGATGAATCTGTGTGTAACACTCAGTAGTCAGTTTATTAGGTACACCTGGTTTCTAACGCAAATAGCCTGATTTCCAAACAGCGCATTACCTGACTGCAATTCAGTACATACAGCACACCGACAGGGTCAAGAGATTCACATACTGTGTGGCTAAGATGCCTGGTCTATAAGTGAATTTGAATGTGGTGTGATTGTTAGTCAGATGTGATGTTTCCAGCATCTCAGAAACAGCCACATTCTGGAGATTTTCACACAATGCAGTGACTGGAGTTCAGGGAGAATAGTGTGATGAACAAAAGACATCCAGTCAATGGCATTTCTCTCACTGAAAACCCCTCATTAATGATACAGGACAGAGGAGAATGGCCAGACTCATTACAGCTCACAGGAAGGACACAAGTGCAAAAAGTAAGAGCTCATTATATTGGTGCATGGAAAGACTTCTCTGAATGCAAAGCTCTTCAACCGTCAAAGTACTTCTGGAGTGGGTACTACATGGTACTAGCTAGGTGTACCTAATAAAGTGGGTCCTACCCGGCACTAGCTAGGTGTACTGTACCTAATAAAGTGGGTCCTACCCAGTACTAGCTATGTGTACCTAATAAAGTGGGTCCTACCCATTACTAGCTATGTGTACCTAATAAAGTGGGTCCTACCCATTACTAGCTAGGTGTACCTAATAAAGTGGGTCCTATCCGGCACTAGCTAGGTGTCCCTAATGCAGTGGGTCCTACCCGGTACTAGCTAGGTGTACCTAATAAAGTGGGTCCTACCCGGTACTAGCTAGGTGTCCCTAATAAAGTGGGTCCTACCCGGTACTAGCTAGG